GAAAGCTTCTGCAGTATAGACTGTCAAAGCAGATGCTAAGCCTGATGGACAACTGATGGGCAGAGTGAATGGAATTTTATGTAAGAAGCGGGAAATAGTAAGAGCTAGAGGGGACAGGAACTCCACAAGGAGAGCAACAAAACAAGATAATTTGAACACAGGGAACTTCCCAGAGACTCATACTCTAACCAAGGACTATTCGTGGAGATAACCTAGAACCCCTGCACAGATGTAGCCCATGGCAGTTCAGTGTCCAAGTGGGTTACATAGTAATGGGAAGAGGGACTGCCTCTGACATAATCTGACTGGCCTGCTCTTTGATCACCTCTCCCTGAGGGGGGAGCAGCCTTACCAGGCCACGGTAGAGGACAATGCAGCCACTTTTGATGAGAACTGATAGACTAAGATCAGAAAGGAGAGGAGAACCTCCCCTATCAGTGGACTTGGGGAGTGGCATGCATGCAGAAAGGGGAGGGAGGGTGGGATCGGGAGGGGAGGAGGGAGGGGCTTATGGGGGGATACAAAATGAATAAAGTGTAATTAATAAAAAAAATAAAAAAAAAAACAAAAAAACAAGAAAATCATGAAATTTGCAGGCAAATGGTAGGGACTAGAAAAGATCATAGTGAGTGAGGTAACCCAGAAACAGAAAGACACATATGGTATACGTGTGGATATTAGCCATATAATATAGGATAAACGTACTAAAATCTAAGTCCTAAAGAAGTGAAACAACAAGGAGTACCCTAGGGAAGAGGCTGAAACCTCACACAGAAGGACAAACAAGATAGACATTGGAAGTAAGAGAAGACAAAGAACAGGACAGGAGCCTTACACAGGAGGCCTCTGAATGACTCTACCTATCAGTGTATCAGAGGAGATGCTCAGGCTCACAGCCAAACTGGAGAAGTTCAGGGAACCTTCTAGAAGAAGGGGGAGATAGAAAGACTTGGAGGGCATAGGAGCTCCACAAGGAAAGCAAAAGAGCCAAAAAACCTGGGCCCAGGGTGACCTGCAGAGACTAATATTCCAACCAAGTGCCATGCATGGAGAGACCCCCTGCTCAGAGGAAGGCCATAGCTGTTCAGTTTCCAAGTGAGTTTCCTAGTAAGGGGACAGGGGTTGTCTCTGACATGAACTCAGTGGCCGACTCTTTGCTCACCTATCCCTGGGGAGTGTGCAGCCTTGCCAGCCCACAGAGGAAGATGATATTGCCAGCCCTGATGAGACCTGATAGGCTAAGGTCAGATAGAAGAGGGGGAGGTCCTCCCTTTTCAGTGGACTAGGGAAGGGGAACAGAGGGAGAAAAGGGAGGGTGGGTGGTACCAGGAAGAGATGAGGGAGGGGTGTACACATGGGATACAAAGTGAATAAATTGTAATAAATAAATAAATAAATAAATAAATTTTAGGATGCAAAAGTCAACATAGATTGAACAGAAAAATTGGTTAGATCACATTCCAATTGTGCTTTTTTTTATTTTTTGGAGACTAGGTTTCTCTGTGTAGCCCTGGCTGACCTGGACTCACTCTGTACACACAGCTGGCCTCCAACTCAGAGCTCCACTTAACTTAATGTTAAGCTGATTTTTTTCAGGATTATTGGTCCTTTTTTTCTTTTTTTTGGCAAGGTGCAAGTTCAAATCTTTTACCTCTTCTCTCTCTTTTCCCTCCCTCCCTCTCTCTATTGCTTGCTTGCTTGTTTTGGTGCTGAGGATGGAGCCAGGGGTCTTGGCATGCTCAACTTATGCTCTATCCTCAAACTCTATGCCCAGTCCCATTGTATAGTTGTTCATCTTGGTTTTGTTTATCTACTCTCCAAAGATTTCACTGCTTTTACACATATTCTCATTGTGCCTCAGAAGATTGTAATTATCTAGGCTGGTCTTCATTCAGGACTGGACAATGCTGGGATGCAAAGGACAGACAAGCTTCCTAGGCTAGCTGGGTAAACTCAAGAGCCACAATTGGCCAAAAAAAAAACAAAAAAACAAAAAAACAAAAAAACAAACAAACAAAAAAAAAAACCACCTTACCATCTCTATCTGTCTTTTATAAGGATGTTATTGATACACCAGAGGCTTCCCATGCTCAACAACTGTCAATTGAAAATTAGAATGTGTCCCAGCAGTAGTGGTGCACATCTTTAATTCCCACACACAGGAGGCAGAGGTGGGTGTAATAAAATATAAATTACACACTGCCTGTGTCTGCCTTTCCAACACTAAGATTATATTTGTTTGTTTTAACAGGACCTCTGGGGATCCATCTGTTTCTACTTCCCACTTCTGGAGTTATGAGCCCATGTAGCCATGTCCAGTTTTTTATGGGGGTGCTGGCAATCCAAGTTCACAGCAAGCACTTTACCCATGGATCCATCTCTCTAGCCCACTTCAGAATAAATTATATGATTTTTATTTTGCAAATTTCTTAACCAACATTTCTAAAATAAGCAACCACTATGCTTATAATGAAAGAAAATTATTTATAAGGTGGCAAGAAAGATGATAAGCAGGACCATACCCTCAGTCCCTCTCTGTCTCTTTCTGTTGAGGTTAAACATTCTCAGCACAGAGCACTGTAACCTCACAAAACTGCCCTGTCTAATGTTTTCCTGTGTGCAACTACACATGTCTTCTTTAGGTGCACATGAATGTCTTGAACTCTAATGAAACAGTGTTACGAAAAAAACATCTTTTACTTGATTAGGGAGGCTTGGAATTCTTCAGTTTCTTTCTCTACCAAATTAAACTATACCCATATCCTCACTGCTGCTTTCTCTGAGTAATCAGCACATTTCATCATATTCTCAGCTCTCTGAATCCCACTTCCAAGGTGGGAAGCTCTGAGTTCAAATTCAACACCTCCGTATTTATATGACTTCCTTTCATATCGTGTCAATCAACAAAATGAACAGAGAGATGAACCCAGGTGTATCTTTTCTGCCTTCTTTTGTCCAGAATGACCTCTCTTCTTGTTCTTCAGTCCCTGAGAATAACCCCAGGCCACCCTGCCTACAACTTTTTATGAGATCCACCTGAAATAGGGATTTTTATCTCCCAGCTTAACACCCTCACTTTTGTCTGCTACAGAGCAGACTTACTTAGCGATCCTTCAACTTCGCAACCTTTACAAAGGGTTTACAAAAGGCTTGATAGAAAGTAGCTCAGTGGTAGAATATTTGGCTAACATTTGAGAGGCCCTGCCTGGTGTTTCGTTTCATCATCAGGAAGACTAAAATAGAAACCAAAGATTCCTAATAGCAAATGTCCACATAAACTCTCTAAAACATCTAAAATTTTAAAAAAGTTTAATAGATCTTAGAGAGGTAGTTTATTGGTTAAGAATACTATTACAGAGTACCCAGATTGGATTTCCAGGACCCAAACGGTAGCTTATAACTGTCAGTAACTCTAGTCCCAAGGGATCTGACACTAACTTTTGGCTTCAAGACCAGCATACATTTGATACAAAACACCCATATACATGAAATAAAACATATAAAAATGAAGTTTAATGTTTTCTGTCACAATACACACTCAGAGTTTTATTCAGCCATAAAGAATTACAAAAGTGTGTAATTTTTAGGCAAACAAATGGAATTGAAGGTCATGATATTAAATGTAGTAAGGTAGACTCAGAAAAACAAATATCAAAATTTTCTTATATGTGAAATATAGATTTTTTAAATATATGAAATGAAAATAAAGAGGGGCTATTTGAGAAAAGAAAGGGTATGGGGAGGAAGGGGCAAGAAAATAATGGAATAAACACTATTAAGTCACATAATATATATGCATAAAAATGTTATAAAGAAGCCCGTCATTTTGAGCAATGAATATGTAGTAATAAAAAAACAAGCAAAAAATATTAAAAAAGAAGTTTAACAGTTTTGATTGGGCTTTTCTACTTATTGTTTCTTTTTAGTAACCTAATGGAACAGCCACAGGCATCATTGTTTATGCTATTTTTTTTTTTTTTGTCAGACTCTTACAACCATAAGGTTAGGTTTTGGCAGAGGGTGGAGAAATGGTGTAGGTCAAAAGGTCTTTAGTGCTGAAAATAACTGGGAACCACTGGTTCACTGGCTAGGTCCCCCATTTCTAGGCCCAGCATTCAAGGGTCTGTGCCTCATATGACCTTCCAGGCTTCTTGTCTGTCCATATCCACTTACACCTAGGACTTCAGCTATCAGCACCTATTCCCTTGCCTCCAACTTGTTTAAGATACTTCTTCTGTCTTAATCCTTTCCCTTCCAAAAACCTTCAGTTCATCCTGTAAGACCTTGCTTACAAATCCTCTCTTCAGAAAAGCCCTCTCTTGAATCAGTGTCCCCTGTCTGGTGCTCCTGTACTCTAGTGTGCATCAGACCAAAGGTCACTGTTATTTGAATTTTGTCCTTTCTTTGTGACCACCTAGAAGGTAAGGAACAGAGCTGTGGTGGCTGTTCCCATTTGGTACTTGCTAGTTCCTAGCCTTGTTAAATGGTCCATGACTGGGATGGATGCCATTTTTGGTGAGAGTGACATGCATTGCAATGAACTGAACTTTGACTTTTCTCAGATCAGTGTTCACAATAGAAAATAAGCCTTGAAATGTTGGAGCAAATTGTCTTTGTATCCCAGTTCTGCCTTGGGCAAGTCTCTTAATCCTGCCATGTCTGCTTACTGTTGAATAATGGGTGCAACCTGGGATAGCTTAAAATGTCTGCTACATAGTAGTGTCCTATATATTTCATTCCTCCCGTTATGAGGAGTGAGTAGAAAAACTCAACAGTGCCAGGCTAGTACAGTCATAGAAAATAATTTTCACCTTTAAGTTTCAAAAGAAGCCTTTGATTTTAGCATTTAGGGCTGCAATTTGGTTTCTACCCTTGCCCTCCTATGTCAACCCATTACCGCTGTTAAATGCCTTCCTCTAAGTTACCACCCCAAAATTAGAAAGCTTCACACTAAGAGAAGCTCAATTTGCCCTTTAGAGGCATTTAATGATGGTTCTGACCTTATTTCTTCTTTAAAGAACTTCTTACAAATTGATGTCCCGATGCAGGCATTGCATTTATCAAGACCGAGGAACGTCCTTCCCAGAGCGTAGCTGCTTCTGACTCGGGGTACCAGAGAAGGAGGGAGAGAAGCCGGAGAAGAGAAAGAACAGCTCAGAGCTGAGACCCACAGCAGGACCTGGGCTGGCCAGCGTTGGTGAAATGTGGCAGTTGCAGCCCTGTGTCGGGGCTCCATCCTGTGCTCTGTGCTGCGTCTGGCTGTGGTGATCCGCGGTACACTCAGAGCTGCACAAAGGTTAGGCTTGACCAGAAAGGAAGCTGTCAAAAGCAGCAGGCTTCAGGATGCTGACCCTGTCCCAGCCTCTGAAGTTTCTGTATGAGGATGCTGAGGAGTTAGCAGCTAATGGGGCTGGGCAGGAGGTGAGGAAATCTATGGAGGATGCTGATAACGCATTTCCAAAGTCACTCTTCCTCTGCTAAGGGCGGCTGCCTCAGCCTGGGGAGGGGCACACTGGCAGATTTCGGAAAGGACAATGGCTATGGCTTCCCTGTGTAGTCCTTTTGACAAACACAGGATATCCCAGCTGGGCAGGAAAGGTCCATGCAGGATGTGTGTTGGACCTAGGTTCCACCTGGGAGTTTCAAGGAATCCTGAAGGCCTCCACCCTCCACTGTTTTCATTCTGGGTATATCTGTTTCTGTGGAACACACACACACACACACACACACACACACACACACACACACACACA